CTACTAGCTTTTTTAAGGAGAGAAAATTAGTACCTTCCTAATTTGAATTTAGTCTGTGCACGAGTAAAACAAGAACTAAAGATTACTTTTGATGCGTTAATAAGTTAAGCTCAAAGCACAACTATGCGTGTATGTGTTGATTTTTTTCCTTTGTATTAATGAAGGATGTATTTCATTCGTTTTTCGAGGAATTGTTTTTTTTTTTTTTTTTTTTGCAATCGAGGAACAATTCGCCGACTGATTTGTTCCATAAGATACCTTTGCAAAAAAAAACTCTAAAAAACCATAATGAAAAAATATATAAAAAAAAACAACACACGGTGAAAGGAATAAAAGAACTGATATTTTCGATGAACATATTTCTGTTAATTAATACCGAGTAACAATCAATACAAATGCGGTGTTCTATAATGTGACAATTAAACATCGGTAATAATCTTTGTTAATGCCTTTCCTGATTGGATCAGTTGCATGCACTTTAAAACATGTGTAAAATATTTACATTGAACAAATTAATTTCAATGTATATTCGATATTAACAAACATTCGAACAAATTTGATCACATGATCATGGTATTAAGGGTATTAAGACAAGCACGAAAATTATACCGATACGCATAATGAATGACACATTTAATTTAAAATGCTTATTCAATGCAGAATTACAGAATAGGATAATTTATCATGGCATGTTAAATGGTTTATTGGATCTATATGGCTAAGTTCTTAATCCCTTCCGTAACAATATACGATAATGTACATTCCGCTTAGCGATTTAAAAAATGAGCCGGTGAAGAATAAAAGATCTGTGGCCGATCGCGGTTGCTACAATTGACTGCTACACAATGCGCATGTGCGCCTTATTATATTTGTATGACATGATTAATGAAGTAATGTGAGTAGTCCAATTGCCGGCATACAATAGTTCAACGGACGAATACTAGACGAATACATAAGTTAAAACTTGGCACTTATACGTACATGCCTAATATTACGCAAATAATTAATGTACAACTATTTTCCATTTGTTTTCTGTCTAAATATGCATCGGATCCTATCATTATATATCGAAATAATTAGTTTGTTCTCCAACTTTAATTAGTTATTAAATCATAAATATTGCACAATTTGTGGCTCTTTAATTAGTTATTAAGTCATAAATATTGCACAATTTGTGGCTCTTTGGTTTTTTTCGTAATCATGTTTCCAAAGTGCATACATACGCACATACGTACGTACGTAGCATTTCTGAAAAAAATAAGATATAACTACGCCATAATTCTTATAATTCATGAATCAAGACGTTACTACGTAATAGTAAGGCTATAAGAATATTTGGTTATAACATATGGGAACGCCCACAGCAAAAAAGGACAAAAAAAGGTGATAAGACTTACAATATATAATAGGCATCCTCATATGAGGCTTATTTGCTAAAATAACAATAGCAATATATAAAGCCACACAAATTTAATGCGTATCTTGGTTTTCATAACATGAAATCTTGAAACAAACCCGGCCGACCTGCATTTTTTTTTTAAAAAAAAATTTCATATACGTATAAAAATTTTGTAAAAAAAACCCCACCTGGTTATTAAAACATAAAAAATTTTTACAAGCTTTCAAATTTGACCGGCCGGGTTATGAAATCCAATGAATTAATTTCGCATGGCCTAATAAGGTATTACAAAAATTTATATGTTATTATATATATATATACAGTATATGAGTGTTAGAATTTTAAAGTTATCATCTTAAATTAATATAACTTTAAAAATAAAAAATGGTTAAAACTTTTTGTAAATTTAATAGTTAAATAAAAGGTTATTAAATATACAAAAAATTTTTTAATATGTTTTTTTTGTTTTTAGAATTATATTACTGTAATTTAAAAACTTTCATAATAAAAAAAAAATAGTTTTTTGTAAAATCTATTATATAAAAGTTTTGTAATAATATTTGGTTAAATAACCAAAATTTAGTAAGTTTAATTGTTTTATTTTTTTTAAAAATATTCTAAATACACACTAGCATATATACCTAATATACTCTAGCATATATACATAATACAGTATATACTATATAGCATATATACATAATATACACTATATAGCATATATACATAATATACACTACGTAGTATATGTAAATACTAGTATAATTTGTAAATTGGTATAACAGAAACTAAAGAAAATAAAAATTAATTTGTTCAAAGTTTGTTAGGCATAGTTTATACGTATTAAAATTTATGCAATTTTTTTTGTTAAATTTTATTCCTTTACGCCATCTAGCAATTGCAGGCACACGCAGATACCAATCATCTGGTCAAATATCACGTTTTTGATCAAAGTCACATGACTTGCTTAGCGGAGTTGTGTTGATAATACTGAAAATAATGAAGAATTCAAAGAACTGAGGTTTATGTGTTGTAAGTGGTAATGGAAATCCCGTTTCCACTTACAACATATGCATTGCCAAAAAATGATATTAGCAGAAAGCTCTCGGATAGATGATATAGTTTGCTTATAATTTACATATGATCTGTTTAAAAAATGCGTTTGTTAAAATTTAGCGGGCAAATTTGCTTATACGACTATGTAAGGGATAAGTAAATTTTTATACCTGCATTTTATATACAGTACTATATAGTGACAAATAGAAATGTTTTTATTTAACCAATTTTAATACGTAAGTTACATAATTATTCATACATATACTGTATATAATTTGTTTTTTATATAGTTAAAAAGTCATATAACTTATTAAATATTTAAAACACCAAAATTATACTATATCTATATTTGGTACATAATTAATATTCGTTATGTTAATTTTTTATATATTTATTTTTATACTATATAATTGGATAGTTAATTTTTAATTATTGGTTATTAGTAATGCTTGTTATAATACAAATTTTTTAAAAACAAATATTTTTATCAAAAGAATTTGAAAATAATGTATATATTTAAAAAGGAGAAATTGATCTAAGTATTGTTAAAGAAAATTTTTATTAATATGCATTATTATTATTATTACATACTGAATATTGTAACCTTGATAAGTTAAAAAATTATTATACGTAGCTGCAGTTATTAATTCTATATACGTACGTATAAATGTCATGAAGGTACGTAGCATCTGCTTGAAGTTGTAACTCTCAGGCGTCTGAGTTAAAACTACTAACTATGCATGCAAGACAATCTAGTTTCAGGGTCTAATTTTAGTCACAAGCAAATGCCACTTCAAGCACGACACAAACACTATTTTATTCTTTGAGATATTCGGAAAACAATAAAACAATATTATGCTTATTTATTTAAAGAAATAATTAATCAAAAGCAATTGTAATTAAAGAATCCTCTCTAAGTCATTTGAACTCAATTCTAAACTATACTGATACATATACAGTAACCTTTTTTTCTTTTAATGAATATATATGTATGTGTGGCTTATATAAATATAGTATCAAGAATAACAAACTATAATATATAAATATTATAAGGAATAATCTCGGGCAATATTTTTATAAAAATGTATGCTATAATTCTTTATAATAGATCCTTTATAATAGTTTAATTAATATTGATACATATTTGAAAAGGTTTTATGTGCAGGGGGTATAAATTATTATGATATGGCTACAATAAATTACCCGAACAACCGGATAATTTGATAATATCTAAAAGAGGTTATAGTTGCAGGCATTTGGAAGGTCAAAGGTAACTACTACCTTTCACGTCACCTTCGCGTCATATAAAATTTAGACATAACATCAATACGTCACCACGTCATGCCATATATTATTTGATATTCTAATATCTGCGACTTTATAAATTATGAATCTGCGACTTTATAAATTATGAAGGCTTGCCTTGAATAAAATGTTCATTTGAAAAAAAAGGAAAAATGTTCGATAACGCAAAAATAAGGGAAATTGGGGTCAGAAATGTCTAGGTTCACAAAAGTAGGTCTATAAAATAGGTCAAGTGGTCAAAAACGATGTTTACATTCTAAGATTAAATAAAAAAATGTTTTTTTTTTTTTTTTTAGAAACATTAAAAATTCATCATTATCTACGCCGTAATAACTGTATAATTAATCTTTTAAGTATTCACATCCTATACACATAACTATGTCACTTTCGTTTCTAAATGCACAAACAGGACAATCCCACTGATTTGCATCCGGTCGTACATTCAAACAAATCTCACATTCCAATGATAATAGGTTATTTTTATATGTACATTTTGGACAACTCCATGTTTCAATAGGTTGAACATCATAAACTTGTTCACTATTAATAGCTTGAGAGGTCAACGCTTGCCGAAATGCTTCTTCTTCTGTAGGTAAATGTTCATAATCGTTTCCGGAAATTTCATCAGCTGTCGATAAACTTCCCCAGTATGATGCTCTGGAGATGTTATTACTTTCATAATTGTCACCACTTTGTTCACTACCTACAATAGTATCTATTTCCATATCATCATTTGTTACAATCGATTCTGCTTTTGGTCTTATCACGTTTGACATGTCATTATGATCCCCATATAATTCATCATGCGGCATCCTTAGTGATACGGGCCGATGGAAAAATCTCGGGTCGAGGCCGGCCCGGGCCGGCCCGGGTCGGCCCGGTTGGTCAGGG